GCGCTACTGCTTGAGCCACATCCCCAGCCCCCTAAACTTTATTTTTAGTGCAACACTCTGCACTGTAATATGTTCAGAAATGCACACCTACCATTATAGCAGAAATGCCTGAACCACTCACAGACCCTGAATTTACTAGCATGACTCCCTTATGTGAAACTATATGGTGCTATTTATAAGAGGAAAAACAAGGAACCTTGCTCTACTACTTTCTGTTCTAATATCCCAAAATTAGGAAAGTAACCACAGCCAGCAAAGGATAACAAATTCACACAAAGCAGCAACAAAAATGGCAACCTACCTACAGTGGAGATGGTAGAGCCAGCTTCATCCAATACATCCACTGATTCTGCCAACTGGAGCTGGATTTTTGGCACCACAGTAAGAATAGCCAGGACATCCAAAGCAAAGCGCACAGTGTCATTCCTAGACAGGAAGAATAATTAGTCAAAGGCAAACTATGATATAGTCACAAGAAACTATAACAGTTTTTTAAATGAGAAAGGAAAACAACAGATCATGATTACCACTGGTGGACTCTATCACTAGTAGCATCAAATGAATATGTCACAATGACATTACTTCCAAAAAACACAGGGATGAACTTTTACCTATCAAAGTCCTAAAATTAAAGACAAAAAATTAGCCAGCCATGGTGGTCCATGACTATAATTCCAGCTACTCATCAGGAAGCAGAACAATTCTAAGTTTGAGGGCAGCCAAAGCAACTTAGGAAGACCCTGTCTCAAAATAAAAATTAAAAAGGGCTGAGGATACGGTTCAGATATCAAATAGAACACTTGAGGCCTTCGGTTTCAATCCCTAGAACCAAAAATCATCATGCTGCTGCTGCTGCTGCTGCTGCTGCTCCTCCTCCTCCTCCTCCTCCTCCTCCTCTTTGATGCTGAAGAAGATAAACAGGACACTCTAAAAGCAATCTGGAGATATGAAACATGATTCTTAAAATATTCATAACCTTTAGCCTAGGAATTGCCCCTTTAGCAATCTGTCCTAGGAAACCAAACTTAAGTACAAAGAAGTATTTATGTACAGACTAAGGATTCCTTATCCAAAATACTTGGGACAGAAGTGCTTCAGATTTCAGTGTTTTCTGAATTTTGGAATATTAGCATAGACATTACCAGTTGAGCATCCCTAATCCAAAAATCCAAATCTGAAATGCTGCAAAATTCAAAAACATGATAAACTACCCTGCAGTTAATGACAATCATTTTCAAACCACTCTAAAGGACAAGGAACAGGGCTCAAAATACACATCAAGGAAACAGAAAATAATGTAAGATACAAAATTGAAACTCCAACACCACCAAGCTCCCCTATGCTAATGACAGAAGAAAAGGTTAAGGTCATTTTACAATGTTTGGCAATACCCAACTCGGTGAAAACGAAGACACCCCACAACCCAGGTTCTATACATATCTTCAACACTCCAAAAGGAAGTTCATGGTACCATCTATTTACTAAATGACACTAAATGCAAATGGAAACAAACTGTTATTTAGGAATATAACAGTTTAAACAAATATTAACATGTATGAATTTCACAAAAATAAGAATGTGCGATTGCAAAAGGTAGATGTAGGAAAACATTCATATAATTTAAAAACACACAAAGCAGTACTATGGACATGCAGATATGTATAGTATAAAGAATATTAATGGACAGAATTCAGAAAATTGGTCACCCTGGGGAGGTAGGAAAAAAGAATGAAACTGAGGATAAAGCAAATGCAACATGCCAATTTTGGTTGAAGATGAATACACAACAGTTGTTACATGCCTTTCCTGTTTGTGTTTGAAATACTTCACAGAAAAAGATGAATGTAACCAAATATAATAATCTTAACTATGTATATATTATGAAAAAAGAGAAAATTAATGGTGATTAAAAGTAATTTTCTTTTCGTAAGGTTCTATATATTGTAAGGTCAAAGCAAGCATTTATTAACTTTATTTTTCTTTTTTATTTATTTTTTAGTACCAGGGATTGAATCTGGGGCACTTAACCACTGAGCTATATCCCCAGACCTTTTTATATTTTATTTTAGAGACAGGGTCTCACTGAGTTGCTCAGGGCCTCACTAGTTGCTGAGGCTGGCTCTCAACTCATAATCCTCCTGCCTCAGCCTCCCAAATCATTGGGATTACAGGTGTGTGCCACCACACCTGGCCTATTAATTTTATTTTTAAAAAATAAACTTTTCAGCTAGAGTTGTAGCTCAGGATAGAGCACTTACCTAGCAAGCACAAGGCCTTGAGTCCAATCTCTAGCACCACACATAAAAAAATAAATAAGCCTTTCTTTCTGCAGTAGTAAGGATCAAAACCAGGACATGGGTTAGGCAAATGCTCTACGACTCAACTACACTCCCAGCCCCTGCATAAGCTTTTTAAATCAATGACATATTTTTACATACATTAAGAATTGTAATGAGTTAAATAAATAAATAAAAATACACACACACACACACACACACACACACATATATACATATATATCAGTCAAAACAATGTACATTAATACCCTTCATGACTATCTTTTATTTGGTACTGGGGACTAAACCTAGGAGTACTTCAGCATGAGCCACATCCCCAGCCCTTTTTATTTTTTGAGACAGGATCTTTCTAAGTTGCTTGAGGCCTCACTTTGTCTCAAATTTGTACTGCCTCAGACGCCCAAGTCACTGGAATTACACGTGTGCACCACCATGCTCAACACACTTTCATTATCTTTTAAGTAATTCTCCAAGTAAATATATTAACCAACATATTTCCAATACTATAAAAAAGCAGTTCTCAGGGCTCAGGTACCATCATCTATTTACTAAATGACACTATAGCTCAGTGATAGAGTATTTGCCTAACATGCTCAAGGTCTTGGAATTTGATCACCCACACTGCTTTTAAATAAATAAATACACACACACACACACACACACACACACACACACGACAATGGTTCCCAAGCTTCGGACAAGTGAATCCCAGAAGTCTTCAAGACCCTTTTAGAAGGTTCCATATTAAGTTAAGCTATGTTCATAAAAATGTTAAGATGTTATTTTCCTTTCTCACTCTCATTCTCTCACAAATGAGTTTTTTAAAGAATATTTTTAGTTGTAGATGAACACAAGAACTTTATTTTGTTTATTTATTTTTTATGTGGTGCCGAGGATAGACCCCAATGCCTCCCATGTGCAAGGCAAGCACTCTACCACTGAGCCACAACCCCAGCCTCAAATATGAGTCTTCCAAAAACTATGTGATATGTAATGTTACAAGACTGAAAAAAGAAGATGTGAAATATTAAGCCAACCTTTTTTTTAAAGCTTTGCTAAATCATCTAGTTTTATTTTAGAAATTTTTCATAAAAAATGCTAAAATTCAATGGGATCACATTAAAGTAAATTTATAGTTTTACATTTTGTTTTAAATGTCTAAGACAGTAGACACTGATAAACATACCAAAAAAAAAAAAAAAAAAAAGCTCTTCAGAGTTCCTCCTTATTTTTAATATGGTAAAAGGGTCCTTAGGCCAGGAAGTTAGAGAACGGTTGCTCCAGAAGTACCCTACCAGATTTAGTATATTGGAATTTAGCAAACAAGCTATATACTTCCCCTAATAAGCCCCAACTGTCTTTATAGCAATGGGTAGACATGGAAAAGGAGGTCAAGAAATGCTATTTATAAACTTCTTTACTATTCTCTTCAAACCCCCATCTTTTTCAAATTATAGTTTTAATTATTTTTACATCATTCTCAAAACAGAACCACCCAACCTCCCTACTATATCAGCTGCCCTCTTCTGAGATTCACCCTACTCTGCTGACTGCCTTTAATTTCACAGAATTGTGAAAATCATTACAGTGTGTTGATCCAAAGAGCAAAAAGACAGTTCTACGAGAAAGTAAGATAAACAACACATGACTGTCAAGCTAAAGATATTCAAAAAGTTTAAGTACCAAAAAACAAGGACTCCAGCTTCAAGAGAGCTCTATGGTTAAGATATGTAAATTACATAACTTCTCTGAGAGTATAAATTGTTGATCCTTGTCTACCATGTAATGTTTACAATCACCAAGAACATATATAGGAACAAGCACTCTGTAAATTAAAATAAAATTTTTGTGCTTAATTTCATTTCTCAAATCCAAGTCTAAATTCAATAAATGTTTGTTAAGTGTACACCATATGCAAACCAAACCAACATCAATTTTAATAAAAGCAAAAAGCAGGATGGAACTTCATTTGAAACCTTTCTCTGGTCCCACCTTGCATAATAGGTCTTCCAATTGCAGGCAATAGAAATAAGCTGTAACAAGAGTTGCACACAAGAAAGTTTGAGGAAGACTTCAGCTGGTTCCCAGTATAGCTGAGCTGGGCCATATTCTATCAAAAACTCCATCATTTCCACAATCTGTTCATGAGTATATGAACATGCCTATAAGGAGACATACATGTTATTTTTATATATACTCTATTATCTGCCTGTCATCTTCTGAAGTACAGCTCAGTGACCAACATATTTTGATAATAGCTTTCCAATACCATAATTCTTGAGTCAATAGCCAATATGTGAAACAATGATTACATAACATTTATTTTATTTTATTTATTTAAGTTGTTGATGGACCTTTATTTTTTATTTACATGTGGTGTTGAGAATCGAACCTAGTGCCTCAAAATTCAAGGCAAGTGCTTTACCACTGAGCCACAACCCCAGACCACATTTGTTTATTTTTAACTACAGACTCACATTTTTCCCAATAAAATAACAATGTTATTTTGTACATATGTTTCATAGCTTAAAAAATAAGATGGGCATGGTGGTACATGCCTGTAATCCCAGAGACTCAAGAGGCTGAGGCAGAAAGATCACAAGATCAAAGCCAGTCTCAGCAACTTAGCAAAATCCTCAGCATCTTATCAAGACCCTATCTCAAAATAAAAGAGACTCACAGTAAGTAGCTGAGCAGCAAAAGGCCGCTGGGTTCAATCCCTAGTACCCCACCCCACCCCCCAAAAAAAAGAGAGAAAGAAGCAACAGGAAATTGATATATTTTCAATCTGCTGATTTTTAAAACATGCAAATACAGACCTTGGTCCCAAAATATAACAAATAAATTCCAAAATGATAGAAAAGTAGAGATATAGACATACTCTTTCCAAAAATAATTCTGCACAAGAGGCAGAATGTCTAGTACTTTTCAGAGAAGAAAACTCTTTAAAGGGCTGGGGATATAACTCACTAGTACAGCACTTGCTCAAGACCCTGGATTCAATCCCAAGTCCAAAAAAAAAAAAAAATCAGTAAACAAAAATTACGAGTTCCTTAACACACATTTAAGTTCACCCTTTAGTTTTAGTGTGCCAGAAAAATAATGACTTAGTAACTGACAGCAAAATATGCCCCTGAAATTCACCTATTATATACATTTTCAATTGTTTTGCTTCATACAGGGAAAGTAAAATTCAACAATGCATTATCTTGCAGAAATTCCACTGATCTGGTGATGCAACTGTGTGTGGGAACAAGACTAATCTTTAAAAACTATATCCTTAGACTGGGTGTAACTCAGTTTTCCTAGTATGCACAAAGTCCTGGATTCAATCCCCAATACCACAAAAACAGAATACATCCTCTTACCTTGTATGGGGGTTGAGGGTGAACAAGAATGCCACCCTCAGTTCTCTGAAGTGACTGTTTCACTTGTTCCAATTTAATGGCCAGGTGAGCCTCAAAATACTTGCGCAAGGCCATGCAGGTATGTTTCCCAGTTTGACGGCTAGCAAATATTTCATCATCACTCAGAAGTGCACCCTGATCTTCCAAATTTAGAATCTCCAAAGTACTGATCTATTAATAAACATTAAAAATTGAGGCAGAAGAAGGAGAAAGGACAAGAAATGTAAAAGGAAAACAAGACAGACTTTTGTAAAAATATTTTTTAGTGTTGGCGGACCTTTATTTTATTCATTTATTTATATGAGGTGCTGAGAATTGAACCCAGTGCTTCACACATGTGAGCCAAGCATTCTACCACTGAGCCACACAACCCCAGCCCCAAAAACAAGGTAGACTTTTATGCCTAAAAGATGAAAAAATATCAAAGTATATCTATATATACAACAGGCTATAGCCATATGAAAACAAAACATTAAACTCACAAAAAAAAATTATTATGCAGCTTTTAATTATGTTAAAAGATATATAGGCATAAAGCTTTTGCTCTTAGAAAGGTCAAGATTGACATAGGATTACTGCATCCAAAGCCAGTCTATAATGGCACAAAGAGTCCTCCAACTATTAAAGAGAAAGGGAATGGGGCTGGGGATGTTATTCAGAGGCAGAGCCTATGTGACGCCCTGGGTTCAATCTCCAGCACCCACCTTCTAGCATCTTGAGGCTCTGGCTTCAATCCTCAGTACCACAAAAGAAGGAGAAAAAAATTTACACAAAGAATGATAACAAAACTCCTCCAATCAGAAGCTTCCTCTCCTCATTGGGATGCTATTAAAAGCAGCCAAAACAAGCAGGATCTCTGCACTCCTGCCAAGAGAAGGTAAAATATGCTTACCAAGTTCACCAGACGACGAAGACCATCATAGCGGTCAAAGAGTTCCAACACAGCCCGGAATGAGAAGCAAATTGAGAAAAACATGGTAGCATGGCAGCATCCTGAGGCATGAGAACACTCCATTAACCACAGGGTATAGTTCACCACATCAGACAAAACATTGTGGGGATGCATGCAAACCTGCAAAAAATAAAATAATAATAGTTTTTTTAAAAAAAAATTGTGGGCAAAGGACTCTTTGAAAGAGATGAAAAATTCATCAGTATAAATATCTTGGCAGAAAATAATGATCTTTCCCAGTCATCATTCTTAGTTTAAGTTACAATGCAATTTTAGAACATATCCTTTGAAAACTATCTAAATTTAGTTATTCTAATTTATCCTATACTGAGTACCAACAAATGTTATCATTTAATGCTCACATGGCTCTGTTATATAGATACCTGATCTCCACTTAACAGATGAGGAAGAGGCTCAGAGAAATTATCACCCTTCCTGAGGTGATAAAAGTAGATGAGCCTACAAAGTCTACAAGTTTAGTTTCCATTGACTCATTAATTTATTTATGTATTTTGATGTATGCTATGAGTAAGACAAAGCATTCCCCAGGTCTGTTACCTTTTTCTATATCTTTAACTATAATTAATTTTGTTATACACAGCTTAGTTTACTATTCTCAATCTCCTTGCATAATGTTCAACTGAAGAGGGGAATTTTTTTTGTTTGTTTGTTTTTTGTTTTTTTTGGCTGTACTGGAGATCAAACACAGGGCTTCACACTTACTAGGCAAGGACTGTGTCACACTGAGCAACATCCCTAATCTTTTTTTTACATTTATTTCAAGACAAAGTCTTGCTAAATTGCCCAGGCTAGCCTCAAACTCGCAATCCTCCTGCCTCAGCCTCCCACGTAGCTAGGATTATAGACTTGTTTGACACCAAACCCAGCTGATTATCTGAATAAGCAAAGACAGAGCTCAATTAAAAAAAAAAAAAAATTGCCAGCTTTGCTTTACCAGAAAAGATATGCCACACTGAGTATTAGAAAAACATTTCAGAAATGACAAGACCTTCCCTAAGGGTTCAGGGTTGGGGGGATTCACTTTTCAAATGTTCAACACCACTCATATTTTTTATTTTATTTTTTTTTAAATCACTAAGCATAAAAGAGGATTAACCTGAAAAGCAACAGAACCAAACACGAAACAACTATAGCCCTGAGAAGAGCTGGGATGATTTCACTATCTCCACCATAAATTATCTCATAATAAACACAAAATATCATTTATCATTTTTGCAATAAACGGATTCAAAAAGTTAAATGCAACTCCACTGAGAAACATCTGAATAGTGCCTAATTTTAATGCCACAAAAATGGCAAAAAAATAAATAAAGCTTCTAGAACTGCAACCCATCCTGCATTTTCCAAGAAGAGTCAGAAATTTTTTAGAACCTTTCCTAAACAATTTTACTTTTATAAAATGCTTTGTGAAAAGTGGCTGTTCATATTCCTTGCAATTTTTCGTTAGAATTTAGTTCTTCAACTATTCATTTTTTCCTCATCCAAGTTATTCTATGATTATCTTATTTATTTAGTACTAGAGATTGAACCCAGGAGTGCTCCACTACTGAATCATATCCCTAGCCCTTTTTATTTTGTATTTTTAAACAGGGCCTCTCTCAGCTGCTGAGCTTGGCCTCAAACTTTCTATCCTTCTGTCTCAGTCTCCCAGTTGGCTTCTATTATAAGTGGGTGCTACCATGCCTGGCTCAATGTGCTCTTTTAAACAGTCTGTCCCCACCCAATCCCTTTCTCATAAACCTGAATGGACTTACTCTTTCCATAGCATCCTGGTTATAGGACAGGTAATACAAGCACATGGATACACCAGTTGCTGCCATAGAAGGACGAGGAATTTCCAGTAATTTCTGTACTCCACCATGGGCAACAAATTCTGTGGCAAATTTGTTATGGAGCAGGAGAGATGCCAGATGCTGAACAACAAAGATACATGTTATCATGGAACAATCTAAAGAATCACAAAAATCTATGAACATCAAAGTAAGATAAAGTGCTAAATACAAGACTTCTCTAAGTAAACAATCACTTTCTCACACAAAAAAAGAAAAGCCAATATTAACAGAAATGAAAATAACAAAAACAAAAAAAAAAACCTTAAGATTTCAAGACATTACTCTCTGCCCTCCTAATACCAAAGTTTCTTTTAAATGGTTTGTCTGTTTATTTGTTTTGTGCTGGAGATTGAATCCAAATCCTTCCAAAACCACTGAGCAACAACCCTACTCCACTAAAATGTTTTTGTGAAATTAAAAACAATAAGCCAGGTGTGGTAGTACACTCCAGTTATCCCAGCAACTCAGGAGGCTGAAGCCAGGCTCAGCATCCTATCAAGACCCACACCAACTTATCGAGAACCTGTCTCAAAATAAAAAATAAGAAGGGCTGAAGACATAGTTTAGTGGTAAAGTATTCCTATATTCAATCCCGAGTACCAAAAAACAAAAAAAAGAAAAATATTGCTAAATAACAATATAATCTTATAAAGTCATTTTATTTGTGCATACTTCTCTAAAGAACTTTTGCTAACCTTCCCCTTAAGTTATTTTAATATAATTGGTTCTGTGTTCTAGCTTTGATTCAGTATTGACTCAATTAATAAAGCCATAACTTAGCTTCTTTAAATTGACCCTCAATATATTCCCAAAGAACTATCCTAAGTATTAAAACTGGGAATTTTTACAATTAATAAGAATAGATTTTAAATAGAACTGAAAAGCTTTTTATATTTTAAGTTTTCTTCATTTACTGTTCAAATCCCACTAGCCTCTTTGGACAGACCAGTTTAAGGGCTGGGAATACAATGAAAATAGTAGGGGGCTTGACAACTCTGAACCCAGAGCAAAGTGAAAAGTGCTGAGGAGAGCCAGAGCTCCCCCTCCTATTTCCCATGCCAGGTTATCTTCCAGGAACAGACAACACAACACAAATTAGAAACTACATGATTTAATACTTTACAGATTTTGTCAAGATAAGTGGCAAAAACTACAGGTATGCCCTCTTTTCAGAAGTTCTTGCAACACCTAGACTCAAACTAATCCTTATATATAATTTGAATCAATCCCTCTCTTTGTTTTTTGTTGTTTTTGTTGTTGTTGTTTAATATCTCTCACACAAGTCTCTACCATGCTTCTACCCAATTCTTCCTTCAAGAAGCAGTTAAACCATATGTAGGACCCTCTACCATTTAGGCCATGAAAGTGTTTTCTTCATAATGTCACTCCAATATAGTAGCAATTCCACTGCCATAATAGGTACATTGAGGAAACAGAATAAGCAGGCTCAATGATTAACAAAAACCTTAAATATATCTGGCTCATGACAACCTATAACCCAGCTCATTTCCCTCCCATCAACAAAGACTCTGGTGGTTTCCTTTCCTTATACCAAATGTCTGTACAAAGTCAAATTACCCATCAATTATTTTAAACCATTTTGTTTTTACTCGCTTAGACATCTAACTCTTGTATCATGAAGTCTTCCTTTTGAACAAAATAGTACACCCATATTTCTACAGTATAATTTTCCAATAAGAAGGATCTCTTCTGAGACTTTTCCGTGTTCGTCCATATTTCATTTTTATTTATCCCTTATGTGACTTTGCACAGAAACAGTTCAATAATGACACCCATTATAATTCCCCACACACACAAAAAAAAACAGAAATAGCAACTATCCAAATCCCGTCTTCCATTGCATCATGTTCAGGAACGATGTTACATCTGAAAACAATACCTCTGGGCCACTGGAGACAACCTGACCTCCAGTTTTAACCCACAGCTCAAAAGAATAATCATGAATTTAACACAACTTACACACACACACAGTGCATCCCACATGTCAGTCCAATTATATCAGTCCTCCTGCAAACTCAAAATTTCTGGGGACTGAAAGGCAAATTCCCTCATTTCAATTCCATTTTAATATATTCTGGATCTGGACTGCAGTAGTTACTGATCACATATGGTTAATTAAACATAAGTTAATTTAAAAATAAATAAAATTTAAAATTCAATGTCTAAAAGGCACTAGCTACATTTCAATATCTCAAAAGTGTGGCCAGTACCCACTGTACCCACTCTATAAAGCAGAATAAATATAAAAAGTTTCTACCAATAAAATGCTCAGTGCCCTAGTATTTGTAACAACTTTACCTTGAGGGCCTCAAATGTAAGCAAGACATCATTAGTCTGTTTCAAGTCAATATAGAACATCATCAACTCCCGTGATCCAAGCTGCATGAATATGGGAAGTAACTGAAATGGAAGACCAAAAATAAATCTTAAAATTCTGGCTTTATTTTTCACACATTGAATAAAGAAGAAATGACACACCTCTTCCTCTACTTCCTCATCAAGAATAAACATAGGACCACAGTTTGAAAGAAAAAATTTTACCAGAAGTCACCTACACAAGACCTTACCAGTTTGGGACAAAACCTCTTTCTTCTGTAGTAGAGTTAAGAAACATAAAAATGTATAAAGTGCTACTAAAAAACCCAGAAATATATAGTCCCAAAAGTGTGAACAATACACTTCCCAATAAGCTTACCTCCTGGTATTCTCCTAAAGGGGTCAAATATTGGAGAATGAGTCGCTGCTCAATAGCGGGAGTCATAGGATATAGGGTATAATTGGTGCCAATCACCCAGGGGGACATTTCCGACCAGCTGCTGTTAGATAGCTCAACAAACATGCGATCTGGATCAGAAGATGAGAAACCCAACTTTTGTTTGGCTTTCCTAAAGCTCTCTCTGTCACCCTGTTTTGCTGTCTTGTTTTTCTTCAATCCTCCTTCCTCAGGTTTGGTTGCTGAATTTACTCTACTACTGGTCTTATGGCCTGAATCAAGATGAAAGGAGATCTCCATGTCTCCAGAAGCTTCTTCTTGTTCTCCATCCACTACATCTACTGCCATGTCACCATAGTCCATGTCCACAGCTTCCTCATCCAGAGGCAAAAGGGGCTCGGAAGACAATTTCCGTGGGCTAGGACGCTTATTTTCTTGTCGCAAAGCCACTTCCTGAAGCTGTAGCTCCCTCAGTCTTCGAAGAACTATTGCCACCTATCAACAAACATCGGTGTAAAAAAGGTTGTCTTTTCTACTTCTTAAAATAATTCTTAACAAATAATTCTTATTTCCACTTAAAAAGAACTGGATACTAATGCCGTCAGTACAATGCCTAGTAAAAGCAAACAATTTGATAAATATGTTGATTTGATTTCTATAAGATGATAAAACTACACTATGGCTAAAAGCTTCATTCCCATATAATTTCCCAAAGAACTCAAATCAGAATATTTGCACCAAAAAGGCATTTAAAATTCATCTGGTATGATTCAAGGTAGGCTGAACCATCCAACCAGAAGAGGTAGATACATTTTTTCCCCAACAATGGGAATTTATCCCAGGGACTCACAAATGAGAGGTGAACACTCCACCAATGAATTACACTCTCAACTCCCTTTTATTTTTTTTATTTTGAGACCAGGTCTTGATAAATTGCCAAGGCTAATCTTGAACTTGCAATCCTCCTGCCTCACCTCCCAAGAAACTGAGATTACATGCTTACACTATTACATCTGGCTTAATCATGGATTTTTTTAAAAAGCCTTTGAAAGGCAAACATAAAGGTTTCTCAAACTTTAAGCTATTATAAGTTGTATTCTGTTAAATATTGTCATCTACATTGTAGATAATTATTACACTGTAGATATTATCTACACTGTATATAATGACATGATTAGTTTTTTTTTGGGGGGGGGGTGCCAGGAATTGAACCCAGATGCACTTTACCACTGAGCCACATCACCACCCAGTTTTTTAAATTTTAGGACAGGTTCTTGCTAAGTTGCTTAGGGCTTCACTAAGTTGCTGAGACTGGCTTTGGCTTTGAACTTGTGATCCTCCTACCTCAGCCTCCTACATCACTGGGCTAACAAGTGTGTGCCACCAATCCTGACCATGATTGATTTTTCAAATAAACCTTTTTTTTTTTTTTTTTACTTTTTCTGTTAATTACTTACTTTGGGGGCCAACCATAAGAAGCAGTATTATGCTTAGTCTTTTTTTTTAACATTTTTATTCATTAATTTTATTTATTTACTGGTATACTGATGCTGAGAATAGAACCCAGTGCCTCACACATGCCAGGCAAGTGCTCTATCACTGAGCCACAATCTCAGCCCTTATGCTTAGTCTTAAATAGAGATGGGGAAGAGTCAGACATGGTTGCATACATCTATAATCCCAGTGACTCACAAGGCTGAGGCATGAAGAGTGCAAGCTTCAGGCCAGCCTCACCAACTTAGAGAGACCCCTCAAAATAAAAGGGGCCGAGTAATCTGGCTCAGTGGTAAAGCACCCTGGGTTTAATACCCAATACCGAAACAATAATAACAAAAAGATCGTCTCAAAATAAAACATTAAAGGGAAAAAACAAAAACAAATAGAGGAGGCTGGGTGGCAAAGAACCTTCAGGATCCAAAATTTTTGTTTTTTAAAAAGAGAAAGAAATATTGATATAACTATGCTGCAGTACAAGGTATAAATAATCACCTATTCAGATTCAGAAAGCAAGAATAAATTTAGGAATACTCTCCCATAGCATGCTACAATTCATTCTAAGATGATTCTTACCAGCTGTGAATTTTCATCCCTATAGTTGGCAGCAATATCTTGATTTTCCATAGCACCTCCTAATAGTCCAGTAGAATATGTCCTCAAAGGCTGATCAGCCTCTCGGGCCCATTTGAAAAGATTCTCAACGATTCCTTCCTACAGTAAAGAAAAAAACAAAACAATTCAGAAAAGGACCACTTTCACAGATAAAAATATAAGCAAAAATTTCAGTCTTATGACAAAACAAAAAAAGTTGAAATATTTCACTGTTGTTAACAAGAACAAAAAATGAAACCAGGCAAAGTTGTACACACGTAGTTCCAACTACTTGGGAGGCTAAAGCAGGAGTTCAAGATCAGTGTGGACAATATCATAAGACTCTGTTCACCAAAATACCAAACAAATAAAACAAAACAAAAAGCAAAAAGTCAGGTTGGGGATGTGGCTCAAGTGGTAACATGCTCACCTGGCATGTGCGGGGCGCTGGGTTCGATCCTCAGCACCACATAAAAAAATAAAGATGTTGTGTCCACCGAAAACTGAAAAATAAATACTAAAAAATTCTCTCTCTCTCTCTCTCTTCTCTCTTAAAAAAAAAAAAAAAAAGTAAAAAGGCAAAGTAAGCCAGGCATTATGGAACATGCCTGTAATCCCAACTACTCAGAGGAGGCTGAGGCAGGAAGCGCATAATTAAAAGTCAACCTGAGCAACTTAGTGAACCTATCTTTAAAAAAAAAAAAAACAAGGCCAACACTGTGGCACAAGTCTAATCCCATAGGCTCACAAGACTTCAAAGCCAGTCTCAGCAACAGCGATGCACTAAGTAACTCAGTGAGACCCTATCTCTAAATAAAATACAAAACAGGGCTGGAGATGTGGCTCAATCCCTGGTACCCCCCAAAAAAAAAAACAGGGCTGAGGATACAACTCAGTGCTTGCTTAACATGTGGTAGGCCCTAGGTTCAATTCCTAGTACCAAAAAAGAAAAAAAGATCGAGAAAGACAGAGAAAGAGAGAGAGATGCGCACACACGCACACACACACACACACACACACACACACACAAGTAAATACTTTTCTTTTTAGTGGTGGTACTGAGAATTGAACCCAGAAAACTCTACCACTGAGTTACATTCCCCAATTCTTTAAAATTCTGTGATAGGGACTCACTAAATTGCTGAAGTTGGCCTTGAATTTACCATCCTCCAACCTCCCTTCCTAATGCTTTTGTTTTTCTTCAATCCTCCTTCCTCAGATTCGGTTGCTGAATTTACTCTACTACTGGTCTTATGGCCTGAATCAAGATGAAAGGAGATCTCCAAGTATCCAGAAGCTTCTTGCTCTCCATTCAATACATCTACTCCCATGTCACCATAGTCCATGTCCACAGCTTCCTCATCCAGAGGCAAAAGGGGCTCGGAAGACAACTTCTGTGGGCTAGGATGCTTATTTTCTTGCCACAAAGCCACTTCCTGATGCTGTGGCTGTAGTCTTCGAAGAACTATTGCCACTTATCAACCCAGCCTCCCAAGTTGCTGGGATTATAGGTATGCCCCATCATGCCAGACCCAGAAGATTAAATTTCTAATAGTTTAAAAATAAAGCAAATATATACATAATGAAACATTACTCAGCAATAAAAGAAAATGAAATCATGGCATTTGCAGGTAAATAGATGACGTTGGGAGAAGATAATGCTAAGTGAAGTTAGCCAATCCCAAAAAAAACAAAATAGCAAATATTTTCTGATATAAGGTGACTGACTCATAGAGGGGGTAGAGAGAGGGAGCATGGGAGGAATAGACAAACTTTAGATAGGGCAGAGAGTGGGAGGGGAAGGAAGGGGGCAGGGGATTAGCAATGATGGTGGAATATGATAGACATCATTATCCACAGTTCATGTATGAAGACATGAATTAGCGTGAACATACTTTATATGCAAATAGAGACATGAAAAATTGTGTTCTATATGTGTAATAAGAATTGTGATGCATTACACTGTCATATATTAAAAAAAAAAAGCAAGCAAGGATGGGGCTGTAGCTCAGTGGCAGAGCACTTGCCTAGCATGTATGAGGCACTGGGTTTGATCCTTAGCATCACATAAAAATAAACAAATAAGGGCTGGGGTTGTAGCTCAATGATATATAGTGCTCACTTAACATATGTGAGGCACTGTGTTCCATTCTCAGCACCACATATAAAAAAATAAAGGTCCATCTACAACTGCAAAAAAAATTTTTTAAATAAAAAATAATAAAGCAAGCAGCCAAGCACAGAGGTACACATCTGTAATCCCAGTTACTTGAGATGCTAAAGCAGATAGATCACAAGTTCAAGGGCAGCCTAGGCAACTTATGAGGCCCTCAACTAAGCCTAAGCCACCTGGCAAGCCTCTACCTCAAAATAAAAATAAAAAGGGCTGGGGCTATAGCTCAATGCTAGAGTGTCCCTGGGTTTACTCCCCAATACTAAAAATAAATAAATAAAGCAAGCAAGCACTGAGAGGTTAGATCAAGCTCCATCCCCAGCACAAAAACAAAATGAAAATGTAAAATAAAGCAGACTATGAGGCATACCAAATTCCACAGCAAATTTTTAAAGCTAGAAGACAAGACATTTATATTATTTTTTAAAATATAGCAACCAAGCTGGGCATGGTGGTGCACACCTAGCAACTCAGGAGACTGAGTCACAAGTTCAAGATCAGCCTGGACAACTTAGCAAGACCCTCTCTCAGAATAAAAAATAAAAAGGGATAGGGATGTATATCAGTCACGGAGAATCCCTGGGTTAAATCCACAGTACTACAGACACACACAAAAAAGTACCCATGCACAATGGCACACGCCTGTAATACTAGCAACTCAAAAGACTGAGGCTGGAGGATTAAGTTCAAGGACAGCCTCAGCAATTTATTGAGAACCTGTCTCTATTTTTTTTTTTTTTGAGAGAGAGAGCGCGCGCTGAGGATCGAACCCGGGCCGCACGCATGCCAGGCGATCGCGCTACCGCTTGAGCCACATCTCCAGCCCAGAGAACCTGTCTCTAAACAAGCATAAAACAGGCTGGGGATATGGCTCAATGGTGGAATGCCCATGGTTCAAACCCCAGTAGTGCAAAAAAATAAGTAAATAAAACAATAGAGGGGCTGGGGCTGTGGTTCAGTTGCAGAGCACTTGCCTAGCATGTACAAGCACTGGGTTTGATTCTCAGCACCACATATAAATAAATGAATAAAATAAAGGCCCATAATCATCTAAAAAATTTTTTTAAAAAATAGAAACAGAGGGCTGGGGATGTGGTTCGAGTGGTAGCGCGCTC